AAGCCTGCATGCTTCGAACGTGGCGTGATTTTAGAATAGGGCCGTTAGGGTCAAGACACTATAAATAGGTGTTCTTATGTTAGATTTAGAAATGTTCACTTTTATGTACTAAAAGATCTCAAAATACTCAAACTTTTGTGAATTAAGGAAAACGAGTCAGAAGATACAATGTACGTGTTGAACATCATTACTTTTTTACAATTTCAATACAAGTTTTGTTATACTTAGTTCGCCATTATAGTACCTCGTTGCCCTTAAATCCTTCGATTTCCTTGCATTTCTTTGTTTTACTTGCCTTTAAACACAGTCATTTCGTTAGAAACTTTACTTCTTCGATTTCCTTGCATTTCTTTATTTTACTTGCCTTTAAACACAGTCACTTCGTTAGAAACTTTACTTCTTTCGATTTTCTTGCATTTCTTTGTTTTACTTGCCTTTAAACACAGTTACTTTATCCTTTTAGTCAAACACTTATCTTTACATTTAAGCCCAAGTCTAATTCGAAGCCTTTCCTGCCTACATTCAGTTAGTTTATTCCTATAGACCATTTTAGAAATCTTTCCTAAGAATCTCGTATTCGAACTTAACATACAATATAAGTCTATCAATATAATAGATATGAACATGGAAATAAGTTATGACACATGTGTTCTAGGATCAATCTAGTCGATCCTGCAAGTAACCAATAATAATTAGTAAATTAGAAGACTAGCGGTTGTTTACTAGAAATCACTGTAAACAACACCACGATTGAAAATAATAACCATAATAATATACAAGGAGCTGAAATAATGAAGGAATTGAGATTCAAACTCTATAACTCCTGGTACATTTCACTATGAAGTTTAACAAATGCAGTAGTGAAGTACCTTTTAGTAAAAACAAAAAAAAAAGCACCCAAAAACGTGTTTCTACTATAGTTAAAAAAAGATTGTTGTAATATTGTTTGACGAAAGGCGTTTTCCGTAGTAGTGATCACCAAAAAGAAATTATTTTTACAAAATTTCAACTCTTAAAATCTATCATATAAGAAAAATTTATATTGTGGAAAACCCTTTGCTAACCCTTGTCTATGTTGCAACACCTCACCAAAATGAGGGTATTTTATGTCTAAAAAATACTTTTTCCAATTAATGATGTCATAAAATTCTATTTCAATTACATAGTTACTAAGAGCATGATTATCGGTGTTCTTTGAGAGTTCCTACACATTTATTAAAGAAATTGTGTCAATAATAAATAAATATTTCACTTGTTTTCACGTTCCTGAACTAAAGCACGTCCTCATACTAAGAGCATGATTATCAGTGTTCTTTGAGAGTTCCTACACATTTATTAAATAAATTGTGTCAATAATAAATGGATATTTCACTTGTTTTCACGTTCCTGAACTAAAGCACGTCCTCATACTAAAACACGCTTCTACACTCCAATTAAGTGGGTCATGATAATAAATTAATATAAAATTGCAAGAATGTAGTTGATTTGTTTTAAATGTGGGACCCATTTTAGATTTTTTGATGAGTTGCATGGATATCTGAGAATTGTAAATGAGTTGTTTAAAAAATTGAGAAGTGTGAAATAATATAAAAAATTATGTGGGTCCCATTTAAAGAACCCAAATAGGTATGATGGATGTGGATGCTCTAAAGCACGCTTCTACACTCTAATTAAGTGGGTCATGATAATAAATTAATAAATAAAATTGCAAGAATGTAGTTGATTTGTTTTAAATGTGAGACCCATTTTAGATTTTTTGATGAGTTACATGAATATTTGAGAATTATAGATGAGTTGTTTAAAAAATTGAGAAGTGTGAAATAATATAAAAAATTATATGAGTTCCATTTAAAGAATTCAAATGGATATAATGGATGTGGATGCTCTAATTTTTATCTTTTATAAGTAGATTAAAATGAATTGATCTTGGTCTAAATTAAAACTTTTTTTTTTCCCTCTTTTCTCTTCTATCAATCTCTACTTTAATTTAAATTTCAAATTTGAGAGAATCTTCGCTCTCTCTCTATGTATGCTCACTATCTCTCTTTTCTATCTATCATCCTCTTTTTTTCTCTTTCTTTCGACTGAACACAGTTTCATAACCTTCTTCTTCTTCTTCTTCTCTTTTTCTTCTCTCTTCCTATTCTCTCTTCTCTCGCCGATCTCTTCATCTTCTTTAAAAATATTAATATTGATTTGATGAAGTTTGGGGTTACGTCAAACAAAGTAAAAGTGCCGAGGACTTTGGTGGAAGAAGAAATGCATCAGATCCAGTTTTGATTTTCGTTTCACCTATTTGATATGTTTTTTTAGATTATTCTGTTATAACATTCACCTATTTCCCATGTTTTATTAGGTTGTTCTGTGTTTTTAGGGTTTTGATTAAACCCTAAAAGCCCTTTCTACTCAATCATCTTCTTCCTCGCTTCATTCTATCGATTCCTTAGATTTCGATTGAGCTGATTCACCGTGTAATACAAGATGGTGTTCTGTGATCACTGTTTGACGAACGTTCATGGAATGTGAATCGACGATAGTGTCGTATATTTTTATCTCTTATCTGTTAGGTTTCAAGCTTTTAATTTTTGTTTCTGGTTTGAGTTTTTGTTTTTGTATGATTATTGTTGGATTGGAGGATTATTGATAAGTTGATTGTTATTTGAATGTTGTTAGATGTTATTTGAATGTTGTTAGATGTTACGGAAGATCGCCGTCAAAATACATCACAAATGGAAGGTTACGATGGCGACGAAGGAGCATTTCGAGATGGTTGTCGTCGACCAAAATGTTAGTTTCTGTAACACCAACTTGCTCTCTTGCTTGTCTGTTTCAAACATGTTATAGCTTGTACAATATTTATCTTTTTATTATCGTTATTCGTTACATCATTGCGTGTTACTAATTATTTTCTCTCTATTTGACTTTGGCTAGCTTGCTGATTTCTTAAACCGAATATGTTGAAGCACACTGCTGAGGAAGAAAATCTCTATTAGTATCTGTGGGTAACCAAATACTAGCTTAAGAAATTGGAGGAATTCATATACAACAAAGCTAGAGCACTTGAGCTGAAACCATTAGTGAGAAGAATCTGATGTTTCTTTCCTTTTCTATAGATTACAAAACTGCAACAAAAAGATCAAAATTGTTGAGATTTTGTTTGTATAATTGCTGCATATAGAGGTAAAAGGGGGATGTAGTTGTAATCATTTTATATTCGCAGAACACCCATATGTAGGAAAGAGATCCATGATACGGGCTATGCTACGAGAGGTATTTGGCGATGATGGAGTGTAGGTATATTCATTTATCATTCATGTCCTACTATTTGTAACGTGTTTATATAATATAGAAAACTACAATAATATTTCTACTCTGCTCTCGGAGCAGGTCACAGAAGACTATAATGACTTCAGCTTGAAGGTAATGCACACTTTTACTACCTTAGCATCACCTCTATGTTTTGATTAATAACCTTGCGGGCCTGATGAAATCCAAATTATTGTTTTGGATCAACGTGATAGATCGTCGCTTTCATGATCTCGTTTTAGTGGTATGTTCTTCAGGCTGAAGTATGTACTTTTATTTCTCGAGGGAACGACTACTAACGGCCGGAACCTCATTTCCTACTAATTGTTAGCATATCATGAAGAAATCTAAGCAGGGTGAGAGTTTAAGGCTCAAATATAAACGTTTACGTTATCGTCATTTCAAATATGTATGCATGTTTGTTGCAACTTCATTGTTTCTGAAATTCCACAGGCAGCCACTGATCAGACCAATGTCGATATCTTCATCTCTTTATTGTTTTGGTTTGAAAGATTGACAACAACCAGAACAGTTAAGAAATAAAATAATCGGTATGTATGTACGAGACAATATATGAGAGGTTATTTAAATTAAATTTATCTATGCTTCTGTTATGATGACTTGGGCTTATTCTCAGCAGTTTAGAGATTCTGAGTTGTAGGTAGGGTCTTGGATTTTCTCTTATTTTGTATGCTTGGAAAAATTAGTAGTTGAATACATGAGTTGATTCTGAGTTGTAGAGTGATGAATTGGAGTGATTTTTGATTGTTAACAATTATGTGATTAGATTATTATATAAATATTTTAATATACTTCACTTTTTTATATCTTATATTATTCTACCATTCAAATGTTTGTTTTCTATTTTTATTTTCAATAATCACTTCAAAATTAGTAGGATGATTTAAATTTATCTATGCTTCTGTTATGATGACTTGGGCTTATTCTCAGCAGTTTAGAGATTCTGAGTTGTAGGTAGGGTCTTGGATTTTCTCTTATTTTGTATGCTTGGAAAAATTAGTAGTTGAATACATGAGTTGATTCTGAGTTGTAGAGTGATGAATTGGAGTGATTTTTGATTGTTAACAATTATGTGATTAGATTATTATATAAATATTTTAATATACTTCACTTTTTTATATCTTATATTATTCTACCATTCAAATGTTTGTTTTCTATTTTTATTTTCAATAATCACTTCAAAATTAGTAGGATGATTTAAATTTATCTATGCTTCTGTTATGATGACTTGGGCTTATTCTCAGCAGTTTAGAGATTCTGAGTTGTAGGTAGGGTCTTGGATTTTCTCTTATTTTGTATGCTTGGAAAAATTAGTAGTTGAATACATGAGTTGATTCTGAGTTGTAGAGTGATGAATTGGAGTGATTTTTGATTGTTAACAATTATGTGATTAGATTATTATATAAATATTTTAATATACTTCACTTTTTTATATCTTATATTATTCTACCATTCAAATGTTTGTTTTCTATTTTTATTTTCAATAATCACTTCAAAATTAGTAGGATGATTTAAAAAATGCCTCATTTGTTAATCCTTTCAAATGCTTTAGGCCATTCCTTAAAAAATCTTTCCAATGAGGAAATTAATATGAAAAAGTGGTGGTTAAGGTGATATATATGAGTGCCAATTTGATCATCTGATTGTTGTACTGAGGTAGATACAAGCCTGATATGGGTACTCTTCATTTGTGGAAATGTTATCGCGTTCGTCTGCAATGCTTGGATCCAGAGTGTCGTATCAGTAGGCTTCGCAGAGTTAGCTTGGTGATCAGTGGTCTGTTGCGGGATCTACACTGTAATCCAGTTCTTGAGCTTCGGCTGCTTGCAGTTCTGTTTCGGGGGTATCGATTGGGGTAAATTTGGCGTTGGGCATCTCTTTGGCAGCATTGGGAAAGTATTCAGAGTGCTGTTATGTGTTTTTGTTTTTGATGATATGCTTTTCTGTCTAGCTGCAGGTACGTGGTTAAGGTGACATTTGCAGTGTTTGGTTGCTAACTGCTGGTATAGGTGGTTTTTGTATCTGTGTTAATTATTCTCATCAGTTTGAATAGACTATCGTTTCATTTTTTCCATTTTCTATCAGGTGGAACAATATTGTTCTGGTTTGTATTCTTTTTAAGCATTCATGATGCCTTAGTTAATTATAGATTCTTTTTTGCCCTTCCAAAAATAAAATATTAATTCTGAGCCTTGAAGTTGGCTTTCTATTTGGTCAAATTACTGGTGATATTGAAGCTGTAAAGAATTCTTTCTGAGCCTTGAAGTTGGCTTTCTATTTGGTCAAATTACTGGTGATATTGAAGCTGTAAAGAATTCTTTGCGGCAGCTCAGTAAACCAAAAGGAGAAGCCCCCCAATCCAGCACTAAAAGTGAGGTCAACACTCACAAAAATACTACTGCACAGAATTGTTTTGATAATACTTGGCCATTGTTGTAGATATACTGCTCTTGATAATAAGCAATGTATTATTATTTCTTTAGGGAATCTTCTAATTCCATGATGATTCAATGTATTATTTTTAAGATTTATTTGTCACTTCCTTTTGTTAATTTAATTTTGTATATTATTTTAATCACATATTTATGCATTTATTTAATTTGATTTCTATTTAAAAAAAAATATATTTTAATTACTTAAATTTATTATTCTATTTTTATATTTTATATTGAAACTCTAAATGATAAAAAACAACCATTCATAACAGAATCCGTGCAAACATACATATTTTCTACTAGTCAAAAGGAATACACAAATAATACTTAAATAAAAGAAAAAAATTATTATATTTAAATGTTAGTTGAGAATTTGAAATGAATGAATTATTAGGTAAGAACTAATATCTTTAAATATTATTAAGATTTTGAAGTGTTAATAGACAAAAACTAAATGATATTGAACGGATAGAAAATTTGAAAAATTTAAGAACTTGAAAGATAAATTTGTGGTAAGTGTGTAAGTAACACAATTAACTTATTTAATTGGAATTGGTAATATAAAAAGTACTATTAAAAGAATTTTTCATTGGTAAATAAAAAATTATTTGACATCTCAATGAAAATGCATAAAAACTAACGTTTTATAAAACTCCATAAAAACCATTAATTTTCATTATATTCTTTAACATATCAAATAAATTTTAATAGATATAAAATTTTATAAAAATAATCTATATAATAATACATTTCAATTCAATCATAGATTTTATTATACGGACATATAATAAAGAGTTATCAGGTTATATATATATATATATATATATATATATATATATATATATGGGATACAAAAATGTTGATTAATTAAAAATACTATTTTATGTTATTAGACACTAACAATGTGTCTAAATTGTTAATAGTAAGAAACTATAAAGGTCTGTAGCCTCCAAGTATGAGGCCTAAGAAGGCAAAATGCTTAATATAACAAGTCGAGATAAAAATCTATAATGAAATATAGCTTCCCAAGCATGATGCCTAAGATGGATAAATGCTTAAGACGAAAATTAGAGTTGTATACGACTATCATTATTTATTATTTTGTTCATGTGTCGTGAATCAAGTCTATTTTTGGGCATGACTCACATGAACCTACTTAATTCGTCACATGGTGGATAACTCATCAACAAAGATATAACAAATTATGACTAGTGAAACATGGTAAACCTTGAGGCTATGATCTTGGTCACGAATTACACGACTCCACTGCACTAGTTAGTATTGTGAGTGACGCGTCTGAAGGAACCAGTAGAAAATCATTGAGAGAAAATTAATAAAGTCGTTATCGAATATTTATTTATTTTACGAGAAGGGAAAGAAAAATCATCGAAGAAAAATCTGAGAAGAGAGAAATTATGATCTTGCAATCGAGAGATCGGGTACGGGAGTCGATTATGCAAGTGAAATGTATTAGCACCCCTCACGTTCGTGGTACTTCACGGGATCCACTCTTATTGTTCTAATCAAAGAGTGTATTCATATCTAAAACTTACGAGCTAAAGGCATGAATGTAGAGTGTATATACAAATAAAAAGATTTTATTAGTCGTGTCTGCCTCGGTTGTAAACCTTTGTGCCTACGTACTCTCTTCGTGCAATAAGAGATCAAGACACTCGTAGTTTATCTAAAAAAATTTCTTTGTTGTATGCTTTTTATGAACAATGCTAATTTCGCATTCCACGACAACTCGACCTTTGGAGACTCACACATTGTAGTAGAAAGGAATGAACATATTCTTATCTGAAAATATTTTAAAAGAAAAAAAGGTCCGAAGACAAAAAAAGTTTGCATTGGTCGGTGTTTTTTACCTTAAAAAGGATTTAAGTAATGTTAGAGTATTTTATGAATTTTTCAAAGAAAAAGAGTTTTAGTTTTAGTTATGCAAAAGGGAAGAGAAAAATTCTAAAGGAGACTATCCTAGTTATATCCTTAATGTTATTATACAATGATGGTCCTGTAGTTAAGGATGAAAGAGAAATCTCTACCTAAGTTAGCATGCATGGATTACGAACCTAATGTCTAACTTGAATCGAGAACAAAAGAAGTAATCCTAAGAGAACATGCAAAGGTGAACCTAAAAAAGGAAATAAGCAAAAGCACAAGAAAGTAAACAAACAAAGGATGCGAACAAGCATCGACACCATAAGTTATCTGTACAAGCACCCAAGGTAAATGAGTCGAAAGATCCTTCTACCACTACAATAGCTCAATCAAATCGAGCAACAACTCGAAGCATCAACGTCGAGCAACGTGAGCTAATATCACTGAAGTGATGACAAGGTGTGGGGGATGATTGCGATCCCTTTCCATTTTTATTGACTAAAAGGACAAGAGACAGACGATTCAAAGCATCAACGTACGACGTGAACTAAGAATGACACAAACTAGAAAATTTGGGGCTAATTGCAAGTCCTATTGTTCCACTTTTTATTGACTCGATTGAAAGAAAAAATTAATAGGGAATGGGAGTTGACTTCTTCGAAGACTTTAGCAAAATTGCCTCCTTTTGAGGTCTTTAAACAAGCACAATATTACCTCTTTTTTAGGTCTTTAAACAAACACAAACATTGCCTCCTTTGAAGACTTTAAACATAATTGGTCACCTAAAATAGGGACTTCCATTCATGCATCTTGTTGTACCCCAAAATTTTCCCTCTTATTTTACTCAACACATGCCCATTGAGATCCTCAAGTTGCTCAAGGATGTCCAAGAGTTGACCAGACAAACTCTCTCCTAAGGTAATGTACCTCAAATTAGGGTTTCTATTTTCATCAGGGTGTGGGAGCTCCAAAGGTCCCAAATGCTTTCCATGGTCCTAATATGCTCTCAAGATCGTCCATGTCAAGTTTCATGCCTTGCACAAGAAGTTTGCTCAGTCAACTACACAGATGTCTGAAAATCAACTATACTAGGTCAAAAGTCAACTGTGGTCCACATACAGTCAAACTTCAAGATTTTTGGTCAACATCAACATTTTGAAGTGATATTCATCATTTTATCAAGGGTTGATCATGATTCCCAAAGGAATGCCCCAAATTCATCAAAACTTAAAAGTTGCTAAATTAGGGTTTCTCAAGAAAAGTCAACCAAACTTTGACCAAGCATAACTTCCTCATACTTTATCAGAAATTTTCCATCCAAGGCTCATTTTTAAGAGGATGCAATTAAATACAATTAATATTCATCCCTCAAGTTCAAAATATGTACTCATCAAAAGATATGAATTTCCATATTATAGGTCCTTTTGAAAAGTCAATAAAAACACCTTTTGGATCAAAGCTTCTTACATGAACATGGAAGACCCATTTGAGATGAGACTAAAAGGGTTGTTTAGGGGACATCCCAAGCTTTCTAAAAAATACAAGAACACCTCTTTAGGGTTAAAATTGGAAGATATATGCCTTGTCAAAGTTGACCATTTTTACAAAATTGCCAAAAGGCAGATGTGCTCAAAAGTGCTTTTTTTTTGTCAAATGGGCTTAGCATTTCATGATTGAAGCTTGTTTGTGACATGGTCCACAACCCAAATCAGCATCCACACATTATTTGCTTCATTATTTATTTTATTTTGATTTTTGATTATTTAAAATTTAAATTAAATCAAATAAATTGCAAAAAATATAAAAAGATTGGTTTTGATCTGATTTTTGTAGGAATCACAATCCAATTAGGCTGGCATATCAGATCAAATCGTGCAAATAAAATTGAAGTAAAAATTGGCATGATTTGGCTTGATATAGAAAGATATCATACAAAGAAAAAGACCAAATCAAATCTTCATAATGGACCAAGATTTAGCTCGTTTTTGTTGACCTAATGTATTCCATTACATATACAGAACAAGAACAATGCACAAGGAGGAGGATGGCAGTCGTGAAGAACAATAGAAAAAACTCAAAATTTTGGCAAAAAGTGGTGATCTGATCTCTACCCTAGAAGACGATTCAAAGCGTTCCAACACTCCCAATCGTTTCCTGGAGCATCTCTGAAGCTAATACTATCAGCCTCACGCCTCCTCACGCCCATAATCGACCCATAGGCTCCACACGGTTTGCTTGCTTTTTCAAAATCGATTACAGCCATTCTTGCATCATTAGCATGATTTAATGACATATTTGTGATCATTGATGTATTTCTAACATGTCTGGATCGTTTAATTGAATTTTTGAGGCTTATATATGTGTTTAACATTGTTAGGGTTTGCTCTTGTGTTTTAGGGCTTCTCTGTATCATTGAAATTGGTCCAAGAAAATAATACCATGATGTCATGGGTTCAAGACAAATGGAACCATGTAATTAGAATTTACTTATCATGCATTTTCTTGATTGTTGAAGTTTACAGGTTTTCAGCTATGGCAAAGTGTCCATGGGTATAAGTCTTACCCCTAAGACGACAGTCTAAACGAAGGAGACGGTGACTTGTCACCACCTCATTGGACCATTTGAATTTCGCGCGTGTTTTCCAGCTAATCACCATGTTTTATATATTATTCATTATTGT